GCAGGACATCGTTAAAGCAGAAGGACCAGTTTTGAAGGCTCACAAATCGGTACGTGCGAGAGGAGGTCCCTGCGCGGTGCAAAGCCCCAAGCAACGCAGCTTTCCAGGGGCAGGATCCTCAGCTGCTGGATCTCAGCAAATTTCCACCGAAGACAACACAGATACAGAAGTTTTGACAGAATATGTGTCAAAATCTCCAATTTGGACCCCAATTATGCGAGGCCAGGACAGGAAAAACACATTTTGAGCGGATGATCTAGACTATCCAGACTAAAGGAAACACTGCAGAGTTAAAAGTTATGGTGGAAAATTACTGCTCCATGGAACACAAACTGATTAACAAATCCATGCACATGGAATATATTTTTCATGCTACTAAGTCCTTCACAAATAGGCATTTGATCCAATGCAAGTTTTCCAGACTGGCAGGTCTGCATTGCAGCTCTGAAGGGGCCTCTGGCTCCAGGATGCCCTTATTTTTGTCAAAGAAAATTAATCCAAACCTACGAAGCTCCTTTAAAGTTCTGTTTCCCCACACACATTCACACACATGCCCACAGAGGGTGAAGAAAAATTAAGTGCGAGGAATATGGATACACTTGACATACATGGAATGTCATGCATTTGTGATACACATGAAAAATGAACGGAAAAGGAGGAAATGTTTTGGAATTTGAGTGGCAATCCTTGCTGTACTATTGATATTTCAGTGCTACAACAGGTTTTTCTTAGTCCTGCACATCAAGTTTGATGGATGGTCACCACACAACAATCATACATGCAGCAGGCTGCAAATAAAAACCATCAAGACCTGTGCTTACCACTCTCCTGGGACACTCCACTATGAGAGTGATCCCAGCCTTACAGCACCTGCTCCTCACACTGGCAGTAAAACCTGGCATCACTGGCAAAAAATGGAGCTGAAAGAATCCTCATGAAAAGCACTTGTGGCTCTAGTATTGTGCTAAGATGAAGAGAGTAAAATAAGGATTTGAAAATATTTTGCCCTTCTTTTTCTGCTGAGGACAATGAGAAGTATATATTTCACCTTCTAATCTGAATTTATCCACTTTGCAAAGCAATTTTTCTGTTTTGAAGCACATTTCAGGTAATACCAGCAGTCTTTCAAATCAAAGAAACATCTCTTCATATCAGAGTATTTCCAGATTACGATCTAGATTCCCACATTCATAAACCATTCCAATATTTAGAGGAGCTGAACATTTCCTTAGATGCTGGCAGAGACACTCAAACTAACCTGGGTACTTGGAGAGAAGCTTGCACAATACACTGCAAGTGGTCTCCAGACCTACACTAGCTTTTCCAGAACTCTGCCTATAGCATAGCTATCCCTCACCAATTATTTTCCTCCTACTATACATAGGCAGAGGCTGCTAAAGCAAATCCTACAGATACACTGACAAAGGGTTTTTTTTTCCACTCTCAACAGTTGCTAGAAGAATTTGCAGCGACAGAGGCATTAGAAATAGAGCACATGCACTATTCTGGAACTCACTACGCTGAGCAACTTTGAGGGCCAAATACTGCTCTGTTGCTGCACCTGCAGCTTCTCACCTTGGTTTATTTTGTTTTACAGCAAACACTCAAACAACCATTAAAAAATTACTTGGGCATCAAAAACAGAATAAAAACACCCCCATAACTACCATTAGTAACAATCAGATTGCAATGTCCAAGTACTGATGGGACCTCTCAGTCTCTAGGTTAATGATGTTTCACTGCTCTGAATTAGATAATGAAAAACATTAAAAAACAGGCAAGTTGCAACCAATCCACCACATTATGAAATAATATGATGCTACTTTGTAGACTTTCTTTTACAGATAGAAAGAGACAAAAAAGAAGAGAAAAAAAGTGTCATGGAAACAATCTCCTAAAACAAGAATGTCTGATTAGCCTTTTCGCCTGACTGAATTTTCAATCCTAATACTTTTGGAGGTTTAAGAGATTAACAGAACAATTTGCTATTGTTTGTTATTTCTATTTTACCCTTTTAAAACACATTCTTACCTATAAAGACATTTTCTGTTGGAGAATATCTGTTATAATAATACACAACTTAAAAACAAGCAAAAACTTGTGCTGTAAGCCCAAATTTGTGCTGTAAATGATCGATATCAGTCATAAATTTTAAGTTAGACCTAACTGAGAGAAAATCATTTAGAGAATAGTTTTAAAACTATTAAAACTCTTCTATTTCCATTATGTCAAAACAGACCAACATTCTTGATTTTCCCAGAGTATATAGACAAACAAAACTAAAGCGAACGTTTCCTTCCTTCTTCATTCCTTTCTCAGTTAAGGAAAACTTAATTATTTAGACTAACTTTAGAACTGAACCTCAGAACTAACTTCTTTAAGAGACAACTAGCCCCAACAGTAGCTAAAATATAACATGTGCTGCGTACAACTTGCCTACAAAATTATACAAAGTTTTAAAGTTGGCTGCTTTTAAATGAAAGTGTTTTGAAAAAAATCCTTTATGACTTTGGTGTGACTAACAACTTTTTAAGAAAGCCTACAGTATTAATACACCATATAAGGAATAAATGAATTTCAAAATGTTTCAAAATTGGAATTCCACTCAAATGGAGTTTTTTAGCAAGATGTGCATCTTATGTAGCTTAAACAAACAGAAAGGAGATTACAGAAAGAAGTAGAAATAGAAATGTTCTTTATAGGTATATCAGGAATATCTCAAACTTGAATTTTTCCAAATTCTCCACTAACAGTTCACAGGGAAACATTTCCCCTAGAAAAACAAAAAAATTGTTCAGAAACATAGTCACCTTACTTGCTCCTTATTTCTCTCATCTTTGGCAGTTTATCACCTAGCATTGTTAAAATTCATCTCCCCAGCAGTTTTTTTTTTTTTTTTTTTTAATACACAAAACAGTCTTCCTCTCTTTCTCCCTATCAAAGGGATTCCAGACTATTTATATTTGGTCCTGAGCTGTGTCATGTAGACACAGAATTTCTGGGATTCCTGCAAGCTTTATTCTCTCCAGAGAACCCAGCAGCTGCTCTTGCATTTTTGGGAACCCTTTGACTGTGACTTCTCATGAGAAAAGAAAGATGGATGTCTAGGCTGGGACTTTCACCTTTAACCATCGATAAAACACTCGGGCAACATTTCTAGTTTGGCTATATTCCCTTTTATTAGCATAGTTTTGTCGCATCATTTTGTACTTAGGCAAACTGCAAGCACAAAATTGAGTCACAGATCTGATCGCATCTCAGACTTCGAAGATTCAAAGCAAATTTGTTAAGGGACAGTATGTGGGATCAGCGTTTAACTTCACCTGTCTATAGCAAGCTGTAGTTGCAATGCTTAGAGCAGCATGCTAATAGTTATTAGTTTTGAAAATCAACTTGCTTTAAGCTCTTAAAATGCTTTCCTGCCTCGAAGAATCAGAAGGGCAAGTGCCTTACAGCAAAATTTTCCTGTAACTGTTTCTCAGTTAGTCAAAGGAAAGGGAATTAATGCCAACTTCAAGATTCCACTATCCACTCTTTTTTAGCTTATTCTAATATTTAACCATTCACAGCATCACAGTTTCTAGCTAGAGTTCTTAGCTAGCCCACAGCATCAAAAACAGAATATATTAAAAGTATACTATTTCTTTACTGCTGTATAGCTTCATTTTTACTGTTAGTCAGGTAAAAAATGAAAAAGATGAAGTTTCTAAGTATATGCTGCACAAAAAAGATTTGAATTATCTTTTCATCCCTCAAACAAAGCTAGGAAATCCATTATCCTTATGTTTAGTATCCTGCTTAGAAAGAGAAAGCAAGTTTAATAAATCGGACTAATACAAACACTCAAAAGCAGTATCTGTTTAAAAGAAAAGCGCTGCACACACATTCCTTGTTAAAATGAGGTACTTCAGATATTAAATCCATCTGAAATTTTCGCCCTGAGAACACAGAAAGTGGTTATATTCATTTATTGACCTTTATTACACATGTCCCCTGTTGCTAATCTGTATCCCAAAGTTACTTGTTTTCCTGCATACTTTTAAAGAACACAGTAAGTTTAGCATATCAACCATTTGTCCAAATTAATGAAAGAAAAATTAGTGTTTTAAGGGAAAGTAAAACAGACCTTAGAACTAAAGAGGCAAGGTGGATGGAAAAAAGAAAAGCACCTGGACTTCTGCTTATTAGATATTTGCTGTGGAAACAATTTGCTCAATTTTAATGAGAATTGACATCATGCACACTCTCTGCCATCATTTTGCAACAAGCTGTTCTTCACTAATTTCATTTAAGTACTGAGCTAAAATGTTTCAGCAAAGAAATTAAATATATATTATGTCTTTAAGCAATTATACAGGAAGCAAAATTATCTACAGAATAAAAAAAATGAGAAGCTATAATTGGCCTAGAGAGATACCCTATCACCTATGCTTCTTTTTATTATTATTTCTGAATGGCAAATTTCAATTCTGTTGGATATGAGCCAGAAAGCCAAGGTGGTATAAAACATTTTAAAAACATTACTTTTTAACAATGCTGAGAAACAGAATAGTACCATTTTAAACAGCCATAAGTCATAAAGACTATTTTTATTTAGGAAAATCTATTGTAATTTAAACATCTCAAGCCCATGAGCCATAACAAACATTATATTTCACCATATGCTCTGGATTATTGCAAAGATGACTTACTTTTCCTCCTCCCTCTCAGAAGTATGAATGTATGTGTGCTCTCATGTGCGTTTCTGTTTCAAGTAGAGGGCAGAAACCATCAAACTCCCATAATTAATATAAAAGCAAAACACCAAAAAGGAGGTTTTCCCTCATGGTTACATTTATCACATACTTCACTAGTCCATTTGCCATATAATCCCTTTTTTGCTCCAGTTCCCCACAGCAAACTCCTAGCAATGATGACTGATGACCATCAACCCACATAATATGGAAAGAAGCATTTCCTTCATCTGCTCTTTGCCTAAATTCATGACCTATACTGTTTGAAGGCAACTTTCTCTCACCGGGTGCTAAGAAATTAGAATTTGTAATTGTGAGCAATGACCTGATTAGCAGTGGCAAGAGAATTACTGATTTATTCTCCTACCTGTCAGAGCAGGAGCGCTAGAGTTTTAAAGACCAACTTCTATTCTGGTGATTGGCATAGAACATTATATATATATGCATGTATAGGGAGGAGAGGTTCTTTCTGTCTTGTTTATGTCTGGCAATATCAATAACAGAATTGGCTTGGGATTTCTTAGGTCTTTTTAAAGTATAACATTTAGAAGTATTAATGGTTTCTTCAGGTGCTCATAACCATGACTAGGCACATCTGAAACTTTACAGGACTTCAGTGTTAAGTTGCAGATGGCAAGTATTGGACTGCCCTGGGAGCTCCATTTGGCTGCAAAAGAACATAGAGAGAGAGAGAGAGAGAAGAATTTCAATAAATTAAGGCTACTATATATAGAGCAAACCCCCATTTTACTTGACGCTAACAGTCACATGGTGTTTAAGGTGGAATTTCCTTAGTTAAAAAGGTATTTTAATAATAATAAGAGAAATTTATTAATTATGATGTGCAGGACTTGGCTAGAAATGAAATGTAAACCTAAACTGAACCAAATGCTCAGTAATTCAGAAACAAAAAAGGCAATACTGGTTTTTAAAATTCTGCTAAAACCAGGTTTGGGATATAATCTAAACCAAGAATCTTACATTAGTAAGATTCTTTGTAAATACCTCTTTGTAAAAAACATACCTCTTTCTAAAAAAAAAAAATAAATAAATAAAACTTTATTTTCCTGATTAACTGTATTTAACAGCAACATGAAAAAGAAAAATGGGAAAAAATGATAAGAATATTGTACATAATGACCTTTTTTCAGTCTTTACCCTTGCCTCTAAAGAGGGAAGCTTATTGGTTATCGGTTCTGTCCATGGTTTGAAGGAATCTACATAATTCTGATTTTTCATAGATTTGGTCGGTCTTCTGTAGATGACTTGCTGGTGACTCCTATGAGCTCGACTGAGCAGCATCAAACAAACTCTTCTCCAAGTCAGCTCTCAACTCAGTCAGCACGAGCAAAGGGAAAGGCAACGCAGTACCGGCCACAAGGCCACGGGAATAGGAGACCCTGTTTCCCAGCGGCAGCCCAGGCTCACGTGCATCTCCCTGGCCACAAACACACCCCTATCATCTGATCCCTCACACTTGGCATCCCCTGCACAACTCCAAACATGTCCAGTAAAGATACTGCCACTTTGAGGAAAAGTTACGAAAATCAGCATTATATAAATGATTGTGGCTCATTTATTTCTCTTCTGGTAGATGCTGTGATTCCAAGAGGTACTACTCTTTAAAATATTCTGCATTTCTGTTTTCTGAAAACATTTTGGTTGCTAACTCACAGCAGATACTAAGTATTTGAATATTTGCCAATGCTTGTAGGATTCATCCAGTTAGATATTATTGATGTTGGAAAGATCAATGATTTTGCAACACATACTATTTATCTATGTTAAGGAGGTGGCGGGGGGAAAGGTGTTTCTGGGAGGGGAGGGAGTAGGACCAAGTAGTTCAGATTTTACTTGTATCAAGTTCCTCATGATTTCTAAATACAGCCACTGGCAGACTGCAAATGATGCAACCCATAAAAAGCTTAATTTTGCTCTTATGTGCATTGAGGATTTCCACAGAAACATACTCTGAGATCTGCATCAGTGAAAAATACTAAGACCAACAGAATCAAGCCCAACCATATTTCCCAAGTAACGCAGTCCAAACCTACTCCTCCTGTACACAGCTCTTTGCAAACTTCTGAGCAGGAATCACAGGCAGAATTTCCATGCAAGATGCACTCCTCTATGAGGTCCACAGCACCTCTGCTACCAGTCTGCAAACACAGTCTCTGTGCTCGTGAAGGACACGCATCCCGTTCGGACAAAGGCAAGCTCGAGGGTCAGATGGTTCTTCTCACTGGTAGTTTCTGCTGCACACCAAAACATTCATCCTTTTATCAAGGAAATCCTTCTAGTCTCTAGTACTCATTTCATGCTGCTTACAGAAAACTGTTGAGAATTATTATTAAACAGAAACTAAACCTGGCCTCCTAATCCAAACATATGTGAAGTTCAGTCGGTCCCCTCAAACAAACAGGCTGCTTTGGAAATGATTGCCAGGGCGATGCCTGTTGCCAAGGAGATGACACCCGGTGCAGCCCCGCGTGTGCTCGAGGCTGCCCTTTGCAGCCCCGCTCCTCGCGGGCTCTGCGCTTTACCGCTCCCCAAACCCCAACCCAGCAATGGGCAAGTCCTACATCCCCACCCACTGGCCCCACCGAAGCCCAAAATTCAACGGATCAAGGTGGTGGAGGGGGATAAATTGCACGGTTGGATGACACGCATTTTCCTTCCAAGCCTATGTTCAAACGAGGCACACATGCCAAGGTTTGTTTTATGAAAGACAAAATTAAAACGTATCGCTCTTGAGCTGTAACTGGCAAGGTATTGTGTGGGGGCTGTTAACATAATGCTCCATATATTTATTGTTTGTCATTTTTCTGGCCCTGATAAAGGTCTCTTAGAGCTGTAAATCATACCATTAAATCTGCCACTAGAAACAGAGGCTGTTAGAGAATGAAAAGAAAACACGGAGCTGAATCACTACTTACAGGTTTCTGCTTCATGACAGACCTTAACTATCACATCAGAAGTGACATTTATTCTTTGATTTTGGCACATTTTCAAGAGTCAAAGTTGGCTTATGACCTAACTTGGTGACAAATTCTCTGAAAGACTAGGCCATTCACTACAATTTATTATACACCAATGGTATAAAACTTCATATAGCTTAAGAGTATCTGAGTTTATTCACAGGTTTTAAATAATTGGTTTAATATTGGTTGTCCTGCTTACAAACTCCTTTTCACATATTTCTTAAGAAAGAAGTAGTATATTAATATGATCTTGATTGGCAATAGATACATAAGAATGCAGTGATGCATTTCTTTCAGGTCCTGCAAGTACAATTTCATCAATACCTTCCAAGCAGAGGCTCAGGTATAGCTAAGACTGACAACTGACAGCAACAATCTAAAATAAAATAAAACTGGATGGATATTTTGTGGAAAAACATTAGGTGTAACAAGCAGGACTAAGAAGCAACGTGCTTGAAGGCTAGTAAAAGGAAGATACCTGATCAATATAAAAATTGCTGTTGATCACAGACCAACCCAATTCAAACATCCTGCCTCAGTCCCTGCCACTCTGCCTGCAGCTCTAACTCTGAAGGAGTCACACCAGTTATTACAAACCTGGTTTTACCCTCGTTTCACTGAACGCAGGACTGACAGCAGCCAGAATGTCAGCATTTAACTGAGGCACTGCCGCTGCTCCTGGTGCCCTGCACTGCAAGCACAGGTAACGTGGGCTGCTGCAGGCAGAGCAGGATGGAGATGCCTTTTATGGCCTACTTATGGCCTAATAACAAAACTTCATAAATTTTGTACTGGATTTTCCTGTTAAAATTAAACAAATAAACAGCTTATTGCAGCATGAAACCAACTGATTTTGTTCCCTTGTAAATCAATGGCCTTTAATGAATAAGCTGAAAGGTGAAAAGGTGTAGATTGCATAACTTGGGAGTGGTTACCACTCATTTGTTTTCATGTGAAATTGGTTGTTCATATTTCATTCAAAATTCTCCTTACAGAAAACACTTTACTTCACAGCATAATATCAAGCAGTTTTCAATGAATCAGTGAAATATGATCAGTTGATCACCTGCATTTACTTTACTTTCCCAGGCTATTAAAAAAGGATTTTTTTTTATGTTGGTCCTTAAAATTCTTCCGAGATATAATCCTAAAGTCAGCTTAAGTGTAATAAATACAAAGTTTTTATTTTTATGACAAGCAACAAGGAAAAAACACCTATATAAATCCCTTTCCTCTGGTACACTGTATGTAGGAAATATCTTTCCCAGAATTATTTCCTTGTTTTCATCAAGATTAAGTACTATAGCCTATTTCAAAGTTCACATGAGCATAAAATGAGAGGTGAGCAGAGCACAAGCAAATATACTACTAAAAACCTAACTCAAATCTTACCTATATGGAAGCTGTACAACTTGAAAACCACACCTAAAGAAAGCATGCATTACAACAAAGGTATCTCAACATTAATACATAAGCAATGTATATAAGCAATAATCTGCTACATATTAGCCACTTGTTGATAATAGGTACTTCATATACTTCATCTTTAAACCTAAGAAAGTGACTGGTTTAGTAAAAGATAACAATCTCTCCCATATTCCAGCCCTAGAACAGAAATCTTTCGCTTTAGGAAATTTCACTCTCTCCAGGAATTAAGGAGAACACCAATATAACAATGCTGCCTTTTTACTTTTAAAAAAAAAAGTGTGATAAAGCTGAAAGATGTTTAGAAGATTTCAGCCCAAGTGATAAAGCTCCTTCAAAAAAGCTGAAATCTGTTAGCAATGATATCAAGGGCTGAAGCAATCACTGGAAATAATACTGGCACAGAGGTGTCCTCCAGCAGAGCACTGAGCCTACACAAGCTTTTCCTACCTTTTGGCTTCAGAGAGAACCTGCACTCTTTACTCACTATTTTACCTCCAGATAACTGTTAGTGTGGGTCTCATCCAGTCCTGTTCAAAAAGTCTAGGCAAAAAGCTATGCACAACTTCTCTTAAACTCTCATCTTGAAATAAACTGCAAATTATATATTTTATCCAAACTTTCAAACAACATGAAAAGGTAATAATAAAAATTGCAAATAAGCTTCCTTTGCTGTAGATCCGAAAACGACCACTAATTCTCAAACAGCTTCTGAAATCGCACCTCTTTTGTAGTCTAATTGGTTACATCAGTAAGTTGCTGGGCAAGTACTTTAAAAGGATACAGAACAGGAATGAAACACGGCTCTATGGGAAGTGAGGAGTGAGGCCATTAAATGCATTCACTGCATCAGAATGTTTTTAATCCTACTGACCAATTAAGTAAAATGTATCTAAGAGCAAGTAAAAGTAATAGTCCTATAGGTGATTGTAATAATAAGTATGGTCAGTGCTATAAAAAAAGAACATTAACCATTAACATGATGAAAATATTTCTTTAGTGACCAATTCCTGACTGCTTCTGGTCATGTAAAAGTAAAGAAGAATGAACAGATCAGTTCAAAACAGAGTGTGAATGAGTAGTCTTAAAATCCCAAACAAACCCAGGTAGTAGATTTCTTACAAGAAATCATGTTATTTAATTAAAAACTATTTTTTTGAATAAAAGGATTCTCTACTGTGGATACTGAATGGCCTAATTCTCTATTAAGTCTATAAATTACACTAACTTAGAGTTTTTATTAAATTTCTGAAATTCTGGA